TGTCTGCCCAGCGGAACCATGCTGTGCGGATCAAGAAGCTACCCAAGGGCACGGTGTCCTTCCACACCCAATCGGAGCAGCGTTTTGTGGGTGTGGTGGAGAAGGAGGCTGCAGCTTCTACCAAGAGTGCGAGCCCCAATAAGACCAAAGAGAAGGTGAGCCAATAGGAGTCGGAGGGCGGAGCAGCGTTTCTGTTCAGGCTGCGGTTGAGGGATGCATACAGTACAATGGACTCTTGCTTAATTCTGTAAAAATGTTGCAGATTTATTGGTTTTATAACAGAAGTCCATTGACAAGCAGTGTTTAGCATATCGGAACGCAACTTGCACACAGACATTTTCTTTTAAGTGTTCTGCTCTTGCCATTTTCGTATTAATTGTAATTGTAGTCACTGGCTCCCAAAGGGACACTAAACATAAATGTTTGTCGTTTTATGTTATTGCAAAGGTGTTGCTAATTAAAAAGCACACAATGTGACTGCTTGTCAATTAATTTCATAACTCGGAACAGCTGTTTTAGAACTATATAATTTAGAAATCATTTTACTTGCTTACTGTTTTATTGAACTTCTGCTTATTACTAATGTGCTATATATTTTTTGCAAAGAATTTTTTTTTTTATTATTGCAATATTCTAGCTGAATTAGACAAGTCTCCCAAGACACTGTTAGTACCGCATACGCCCATTGTGTTGTCTGCAGCACAGATGTTTTGATTCCAGTTTTGGGGGGGGAAGAACCTTTCTCCCTTTTTCCTGCTGAAAAACTTTGAGCTGTCCCATATTCGCCCATTTCATGTTTTTCCATGTCTAGGCTCCAGGCTGCATTTGACGTCTTATGGCCTGGTCGTGTACCAGAGTTGCTAAAACCTGCTTTGTGTTATAGGTGCTTTCAGTACGGAACAATTGTTCTGTTCTCTCTGTCCGCTGGCTTTGTAAATACGCACTTGTTGCCCCTCATGTCGCATGACAGCTTTAAACGGAGTCTAGGGTTACAACAGCGCTGTGATACTAAGCAAAGATTTTCTCCACTCATTGGCTTCATAATGGGGGTACAATTTCCACTGGTTGCCATACTGTTCTTCTGCGAGAGCGTTCCATATCGTTGGGCGGGTGGAGCGTCAACAAATTGTCCCTTTTGCTGATTAACAGATGAGGAATGAGCACAAGTTAAAAATAGCATGATGGCTAGTTTTGGAATTGAAAATGAGGACGTCCTTTCCCAAGTGACACAGCTAAATTGTTTTATTAAAAGAAAGTGATACAGTTGTCTGTCAGTCTCTTCTGGTTTGAAAACAAGTGTCAGTCCTCCTGTCCTCTGTTTTAACCTGCCTGTTTGCTTTTTTCCTACTTTTTCCTTTACTTCCTCACGCTCCTCCTTTAGAAAAAAGATAAGGTAGGTTCCGTCTCTTCTCTGCAAGATAAAGTTACTATCTTTTTTTTGAATCGGTGAGATTTACAATAGGCCCCAGAGAGGAGAGAGGAGGTAAATACTATAAAACATAAATTAGTATTTAAAAGTAATCACCCAGTGCTCAACTTCCTATATCCTCATCCAATTATGCCGCTGAACAAGTCCATTCAAATTCTCGGGGAGTAAAATATTCGCAAAATTTATCGGTAACTTAAGTAACATTAATATTTGGAACTCTTTTTGTCTTTAATCTCTTCAGAATAAAGTTGACAAGGTGAGTGCACTCCCTATGCTCACATAGCGGAATCTAATAGCAGATTCTGAAACTGCGTGGTTTTTAAATCACCGTTTTATGTAGGCAAAGCAGAACTGATGCCTACAGCATCTTGGCCCTAAAGACCGTTTCTACCAGGCTAAAGAGGATGCCATTGATTTGATGTGTATAAGACTATAAATAAATTACTAATTGACAACATACTAGTTGTTAATACTAACATTGACTTTTGAGTGTCATTAGTTCACCTTATGGATATCTGAGAAGGTACAAATAACTAGGGTTGGGCGATATTCTGTTTTCAAAATCGCTACCTTAGATATCTTTCCGTTTTTAAAATTCCACTCTGTGCTCAGCATGGTAGCTGTCTGTTGTTTCCAACATGCACTCAGCTGTCTCAGGCCTTCCCAGAAGCACTGCCCAAAAATAATTATATCTAATAAAAATAACTAGTTAACAGAGGCCAAGTAAGGTCTTCAGATCCATCTGCGATCCATCATAACTTCATCCTTGTTAAATGTCAAGTGATGCTGGGTAGTAGATATGGAAGCCACTTACGATTAACATATTTCTGCATCCCTACCAGTTAACTCTCAGGGTTCACCCCAAAGAATTGCATAGTAGTGCCTCGTTTCTCGTGTAGCACCATCAGAATTCTTATATCAGGGTAACATTTGTTGCTAAAATTTCCATTCTGCAGCGATCCTTCTGTATGGAGCAATACAGAGTGGGCCATCCTGCCCTGAACTGTCCTAATTTTCTTGCAGTTTTACAACTTGGGTTCCCTTTTTGTGTTCCCTGATGTGGAATACATACGGCTTTCAGTCCAGACTCATCGCTTATATACGCTTATCACACTAAAAAAACAAAGTGTTCCTTTAATCCTTTTCAAACTTTGCCGAGAGATGGTATGGGTGAAGATCTGGAAGTAACCTGATTTTTACAAAATTGAGGCAGTATAACATAGTGAGAGCAAAAAGAAGGGCTATTTTAGACACATCATACCTAATCTGATGCCACGTTGCATAAGAGGACGACAGACACGGATCCTTCTTGTTAGCGTGATACTTCAAAGTATCTTGGATTTTTTTACAATTTTGCAGGAACTTTGTATAGGAGAAGGTGTAGAACTATTTTTTATTTTGAGACATCACAGTAAAATGGAAGCAAATTCCACTTAGTGATGGCAATGAAGAGCGACTTCAGATTGTACTTGATCTTGTGTGAACTCAGAGTATTTGGATGTTTTTCAGTTTCATAGAAACAATATGTGGATGAATGTGTGTGTGTGTGTGTGTGTGTGTGTGTGTGTGTGTGTGTGTGTGTGTGTCGGCACCACATAGTGGTGTCACATGAAAAGACATGGATACTACAGGTCTGGTGATGAGCTTTGAATACATTATTTATTTGGACAGGGGGAGAGCATGCAGGGGGGATAGAGATTGTGGGTGGATTAGATGGGGGGGGGTGATGATGCCATCCAGGGAATACATTGTCATTCCAACAGCATCTTGTTTATGCTTTAAGGCTCTAGACGGCAAGATGTTAATCTGGCTCAACATGCTTAAAATTTTTTGGAATATTTTGTGGAGTTGTGGATCATTCAGCCCTGGCTGTACATTTTTCATTTAACTTTTATAGGCTATAGTACAAGCCTGTGATAACACATTTTGAGCAGAATATAAAACTGAGTGTGTGTTTTTTCTCAAGAATTACACCCAAATATCATGTGCATCTGTAGGAGTTCCCTTTCGAAGCACACAATTTGAGGGAGGAGAGTATTTTAAATGAATCATACAACGAGATTTACTAAGGTTTGTGGTCGGCAATTTACTGCAGATAGCGGCATAATGTAACAAAAAGGCACGTCTGTCTTGTGCTGCCCTCGGTGGATTGCATTGTTCTTTTCTTAAATATACTGACTGCGTCTGTGCGCATTAATTTGTGGACTTTCATTATATCCCCCACCGCCCTGGTAACTCCCATTGGTGCCTTTTTGTCGTGTCCTTCTGCTACTTTGCCCTGCATAGTAAATCTGGCCTCATGAGTATGAGAAGTTAAGGTATGAATTGTGACCTGCATAGTCTCATTCTTCTGTGCCAGTTGCCATATCTTTCTATGTTCTATTCAGCTGCTGTTAGAGATGCCCACAATACAACTGACTCTTCCAAGTCGATTGCCCAGTCTTCTTTTCCTGCAATAGCTATAAAACAGTTTAATCCTTTTAAAATTTGTTCCGTTTTCCTGATTTTTTTTCACGAGCTTGTTGCAGTAGTTAACAGTAGCAGGAATCTAAAAGTGCAGCAAAGCACATCAGTTTAAATGTTCTGGTTCAGCTTCTGGTCCCATCTTAACACCAAGAATGCCACCTTTGAGTAGTTTTAGCTTGCATAGTATTGAAGAGTTTTCCACAGACGATAGGTCTGTTAATTCAGCAACAGGCTTCAATGCAGCATTCATGGACTCTAGTACACAAATATCTTGAGACATGGTGCACGCTGTCATGTACTAAGTACACACATGATGACTGGTTTCAGGATGCGTTCTACTGTCTTGTGCTTTGAACCTCAGCAAGTCACTCAAACCAACACACAGACTCTAGATCAAAAGCCTTCTGCGAAGTGTAGGCATACAAAACAAACTAGCCAGCTTTAGGGCCATAATCCATATAGCTTTAACAACAACAATAGCATGCAGTTCATGTAGAATAGCCTAGCCTTTGACTTTTTATTTTTTTTTGCTCTTTTTTTTTTTGTGAGTAACTAAGCTTTGAAGGAAAACTTTGAAATATCTAACGACATAACTTCAGGTAGCTTATGAGTAAGGTAGCTTGAGTTTAACTAGAGCGGTCAGGAGATCTCTCCTCTTTTGCCAGTGGAACATAGTGAGCGTGTGATCAGTTTGTTTTTTTTCCGCTTTGGCTGTATTCAGAAATCTTTCCAAACCATTTTATGCAATGCCACTATGTGCAGAGATGCATAATGAGGTCCTCCTGATTGCATTGACGCTTTTCTGTCTTAATCTCATCCTATGGGTCTGGTGATTGTAAATGTTCTGAGAATGTTTGAGTATATGAGCCTTACTTGCCCACTTAAATTATCAGGTGATGATTCTAACTGTGAAGTAGCTTTACTTTATTTTTATTAATCCTTCTGGGTTTGTCTTAAGTTAATATCGAAGTGACTGATTTGATGGTTCCCTTTGTCATTTGGTTTAAGATCAGACAACCTAATGAAATAACTGCAACAGTCTTCTCCACCAGGTCACTCTTCCTTACTGTTGTAATTAAGCTAATTATGGTACTAATTAGTAGATTGAATTTGCTGTTAGACACACAGATTATATTTCTGGAGTGAACTTGGAGGGATTTTTGGGGCTTGTATATACAGGGGGCCCCAATGGCAAAATTACAAATTGTTGTTTTGAAGCAAAATAATTTGCTTTAAGACTTGTGATGATAATATTTTTGTCATATCGCCCAAACCTATAACTTGTGTGACGTTTCGGTGTGGCGTTCATTTTGTGCTGCTTCATGTTGCTTCTTTATTGGGCAGAAGAATGCATAATGATTAAGGAACAAAGCTGTTCTGGTCCAGCTTTGAGGGCCTGTGCCTCTTGCACTATGTAGGTGTTTTGCTGTATTTAAAAACATAATAAATGCAACTCTGTAAACCTTTGTTCAGTCCTCATCCCATTGCACACACGACGCTTCTGGTGCAGTCTGAGTGTGTCTTTGCTGCCGGGGCCTTTCACTATGACCCTCGTGCACGTTGTTGCCCTAAAGAATCTGCACCTTGTTTACAGGAGGCAGAGGAGGGGGTGATCGCTTACGAGGACTGTGGAGTGAAGATGACAATGACCTATCACGCCAAGGACCTAGAAGGTGGTTTACAACCACAAGTGGGGGATAAGGTTTGTGACTATGACGCAAGTTCCTCATGCTTCACTAATTTCCATAAGAGGAGATTGGGGGGGAATTTCTTGTCACCTTGCCATAAAGGAGAGGGCTGTGTGTGTGGGGGGGGAATTACGACACTGTGGGGACCAAATGTCCCCACAATTTGGTAAAATCTACATTTTAGCTTGTTGGGGACACATTTCGTGTCCTCACAATATAAACCTTAGTTTTATAAAAATCTGAAAACTTTTGTTTGGTTACTTATGGTTAAGGTTAGGGCTGGGTTGGGATTAAGGTTGTCCTTGTTGGGATTATGTTTTCCCCCATATAAATGGATGGAGAGTTCCCCAAAGGTGTGTGTGTGTGTGTGTGTGTGTGTGTGTGTGTGTGTGTGTG